CCTTCCCTGCTCATTCTCTGTCTCTCTCACTTTCTCAAGGATAAATAAACATTAAAAATTAAAAAAAAAAAAAAAAGAAAAGAAAACAAATGTAGTCTAGAACAGTGGCTCTAACACTGGGGCACTTTTGCGCCTTCAGGAGACACTTAGTGATGTCTGGAGACATTTTTGGTTGTCACAACTCTCTGAGTACACCTGGTATCTAGTGAGTAGACACCAGGGATGCTGCTAAACACCCTATAGTGCACAGCACAGGCCCCACCACACAGAATTAGTTGTTCAGCTCAGAATGTTAACAATGCCGACCCTACCCCGCTTGCACTCTGTCTCTCAAAAAAATTAATAAAACACACAAAAAATAAAAAAAACAGAATGTTAATAGTGCTGAGAATCCCCACTTTAGAAAGATTCTGGGGCAAGTGCAAGGAGCCTCCCCTGACCCACTCTCCCTCCTCTCCTCTTTAAAAGCAGATCTCGGGGCACCTGGGTGGCTCAGTTGGTTAAGCGTCTGACTTTGGCACAGGTCATAATCTTGCAGTTTGTGGGTTCGAGCCCCGCGTCGGGCTCTGTGCTGACAGCCAGCTCAGAGCCTGGAGCCTGTTTCGGATTCTGTGTCTCCTTCTCTCTCTGACCCTCCCCTGCTCACGCTGTCTCTCTCTCTCAAAAAATAAAAACATTAAAAAAATAATAGTAAAATAAAAGCAGATTTCCATGCATACCATTCCTGGTATTTCTTTTGAACTGAAGAAATCAGCTTACTCACTGATGAGAATAGCAACCAGTGGCTGAACCCAAGAAGGTAAGTCAACAGTTGCTTCACTGAGGCTCATAAAAAGATCAATGCAGTACATACACTGTGCTTCGTGCATATAAAACTGTCACAGAGCAAAGGCAGTTTTCTTGTTTTAAAAATCAGAAAAACACATTTTAGAACACAAAGCACAAAATAAGTGTCATGATAGCTTCGATTTACAAAATGCACAAGGGAGCCTAAATTTAATTTTTAATCATTTGCTGGGCACCCTTCTCATGTACCCGGGACATTCAGTACTCCTGGCGGGTCACACCAGGGATCCAGCGCGTCTCACTTCTCAGGGGAAATCTGTGTTTACATAGCCTCTCGGTGTCCAAACCATGTGAGTGTCTGGAACAAAAGGGACCGTGTCTTATTCCCCACCAGCTCCGAGCTGAGAGCACAATGCCTGGCACACAGCAGGCTCTGTGTGAATGCATGTGGCATGAATGAGTAACTAGAGAAAAGATGGCAGTTTCTATGAACATCATGGGCAGTGCAGGCGTGGAGTGGAAGGACTATCCCATTAAAATTACAAGGCTTCTGGGCTTAGTTAGCCTGAGACATGGCAGAGATCCTGATTAGGAAAATCTGGATCATAGGGAGGCCCTTAAGAAGCACCCACAACTATGATCTGGCCCAAGAGGCTAGATCTGGGTTCAAGTCCTGTCTCTACCACTACTAGCTGAGTAACATTAGGCAAATTACTTAACCTCTCTGAACCTCAGCTTCCTCATCTGTAAAATTCACTCATCCAACAAAGTGGAGCAGAGTGAGCAGAGAAGAGGTAAGAGAGGTGGCCAAGGGCCCTAAAAAGCTGCTGTGGCATAGACAGCTAGCTCTCCACCACAGATTTGTACTCCCCCTGCCCTACCACGGACTACATTTCCCAGCATCCTGTGCATCTAGGTGAGGCCACGTGACTGCATTCAGGCCAATGGAGTGTGAGCAGGAGTAACTGGTGCTGCTTCCAGGCAGCCCATTTTCCACAGCCTGGTCAACTCTTCCTCAACTGCAATCCTGCCCTGAGACACATACCACAGAATAGATTGCAGCATCTCAGCATCACTTACAAAGCACTTGTGCCATAGCTCCTCTCAGCTCCCTGGAGGACACAGGTTCCCCATTCCCTGGGCTTTGCACTCGCTCTGCCCTCTGCCTGGCACACACCCAGGCCTGCCCTCCCTACCCGTCCCCTGGCCAACTCTTCTGCTCGTCCTTCAGGTCATAGTTTAGATGCCACTTCCTCCAGGAAGCCTCTACTGAAGCCCAGGAGGTAGGCACTATTAGCTTCATCCTACAGACAAGGAAACTGAAGAACAGAGAGTTTAAGTAACTTCCCAAAATCACATGGCTAGAAAGTGGGGGAGTTGGGTGTAAAGACAGTGTAGGCTGAATCCAGGCCTTTCTCTCGCCATCACTTGCTACTTCTAAATGTGGGCTCATGGGACCACTAAGCATCAGCAGCCTCTCCTGGGAACGTGGTAGATGTTCAAATTCTCGGGCCTCACTCCGGTCCCACTGAAGTAAACTCTGGAGGTGGGCCCAGCAATCTGTGTTTAAACAAGCTCACCAGTTGAGTTGGTTCTGATAATGTGCAGTTAAGTTCGAGAACCAATGGCCTGGAAAAATTCTCTGCAGCTGACTCCAACTGTGGCGTCCTTGCTAGGTCAAGAAAGCATCACGGCTGAAAAACTGAATACTATCCACCCTCTGACTTTCTAGTCACTTGAAATGATTCTCTGGGTTTTCCCAGCCCTGGGGTTTTGGGGACCCAGAGACCGTCATCTCCTACTTTATTATCAGCATGTTAGTGACTCGCTACTTCCTCTGTTCAGAGCCTTCTGCTTGTGCCCATCAGTCTTGTCTACAAGGGTTTACTCCACCCGGGGGGCTCAGTCGGTTGAGTTTCCAACTCTTGATTCTGGCTCAGGTCATGATCCCAGCCCACTTCGGACTCCATGCTGAGTGTGGAACCTGCTTAAAATTCCCTCTCTCTCTTTCTCTCTGTTCCCCCGCCCCCGCGTCTCCTTCCCCTTCCCCCCCACCCCCCGCCCCACTCACAGTCTCTCTCTCTCTCAAAAAAACAAAAACAAAACGCTTTCATTCCATAGTGGTCACCACAATCACCTTCTTCTAGTATATTCTCAGTTTACTAAGGCAACAGTCTGCAGCTTCTTGGTCAGCAAAATTGATCTCTCCAACACAAAAACTTTTATTTTTTATTTACTCCAGCCAGCCACCATTACTTTGGATATAGTTCCAACCATCAATGTTTTTTCTGCTTCAGCTTTAAGAACTGGGTCAGAAAGAGTGATTTCTAGAGAAAGAGCTTGAACAATTCCAAGTTTCTGCTGTTGACCTTCCGCTTTCTCCCACACTGTTCTCTGTCTCCCAGCAACTGGCTGCCAATCCTGCCAAAGACTGGACAAGACTTCTTTGGGGGAATCTGACCAGTGTGAGAAAAAAGGCCTTAAAGACACCCTTCTCCAGGGAACAGTCCAGACAGATTGCCCTGATGCAAAGGCCACCGCCAACTAGCCCCACGCACAGCCCCAGACCTTCCGAAGAGCTTACTGGAGCCCCATTCCCTTCAGCAGACATGGACCCCAGGGGAGGCAGAAAGGTGGGGGGCGGGGGGCTCTGCTCCACAGTCACTCAGGTGCCCAGACTCCTTCGGTCTGGTAGCTCGGCCCTCTCCTAGGCCCTCAGAGCCCTCCAACTCCACTGGTAAATGCGGAAAGAGGAGGAGGGAGGTTTTTAGGGTTCAAGCTTGAGAAGGGTGCTCGCTACTTCTGCTCTCATTCCATCAGCCAAAATGCAGTCACGCAGCCCACCAAACTCTAAGGGAGCCTGGGAAGTTCAGCCAGGCGATACCCCAGGAAGATTTGACTAATCTCCATCTCTGCCATAGAATACATTAAAAACGGTTTAAAATAAAATCACGGCTATATCCTCAATCAGCCAAAACGCAATGCTCTGTAACCAAAAGCACAAAAGAAACTGTAAATCACAGAACGTACACAACTGATCCTATGTAATCTGAGACCATTTTAAGGGATCATCAGGCCCTGACTTTCTGCCTCCCCTGACCCCTGCAAACCCCTCTTAGAGAAGGGAACTCAAAGGAGGGGGGTTGGCCATCCCAAATGTTACACCTGAATTCACATCATCTAGCTTGATTGTATTTGTTGAGTTAATGCATGAACAAAGGAATGAATGTGTTCATACGCTATCTCTAAACCCTACCTCCTTCCATTGGCATCCTTTCCAGATCAGCACAAACATCACCTCCTCCAGGAAGCCTCCCCAGTAACCTCCCCCTCCACCTTCACACAGCGGGCATAACTGGCTCCCACCTACTTGCTCTAAGGGTCCGCCCTTAGTCCCTTCTGCGTATTAGTTGGCTGTTAGACAAGCCCGAGCCTCGGTTTCCTCCTCTATAAAATCATAGGGCTGGGCTATGTCACTCCACTTCCTGGCTGAAACTGTGGCCCCAGGCAGACAGCGTCCCGGGTTAAGGACCCAGAAGTCAGGCTCCCAGAGTGTCCCCCACAGATGTTGCGGTCCCCTCCCATGCGGCCCATCTGTCACACTAGAGGCGCAGCTGGGCTGGCGCCCCGCAATCCTCCGTCCGGGTGCGAGCAGATCTAGGCCAAGACTTACCCAGGAGGCCTCCACCCCCGCGCCGCCACTCGCCTATCAATGCCCGGCCCTTGGCGCACATGTCGGTGGAGCCTGCCAACCAACACCCAAACTCCCTCCCTCAGTCAACAATACAGCAAGGGCGCGTCTACGCTGTCCTGGGGGTTCCAGGAATTCAAGCCTCTTGTTCAGGGGCCAGGGTAGGGCTTGCGGCTGTGGGCCCCCGCAGGAGACAGGAAGGCAGCACTGTCCCCACCCTCTGCGGGCTCTGAGGAGCCCGGGGCGGAGGCCCCCAAACTGCCTCTCCCAGCCGACGGCGTGCCAAGTGTTTTCCCAACAGACACTGCCGTTAATCTGCATGACTCCCCGCTTTTACAGAAGCAAACACCGAGCCCCGGAGAGCTGAATCACAGAAGCGCTCCACACACTTTCTGCGCCGCCTCCGCCCCCACTTGCAAGCTCGGACCCAGAGCGCTGGGGAAGCCGGTGCACCGGGTAGCCCAAGGCCTGCAGCGCCGGATCCCGGCCCCCACCCGCCTGGCTACACGCGGCCCGCACTTACCTCCTTCGGGCGGACAGGCACCGCAGCCGCTGCCCACGGCCGCGAAGATCCAGAGGAGCTGGCAGAGGCTCGCGGCCCGGTGCTCCAGGGTGCAGGGCGGGCGGGCCCCCCGAAAGTGCCGGGGAGCGGCGAGCGGGGCGCACCGGCCGGCGCTCCGGGGAGGCAGCGAGGACGGCGCAGGGCGGTTGGATCGATCTCCGGGCGCGGGCGCCGCCGGCACGATGGGCCGCTGGAAGGATCCCGGGGCGCTGAGGACGCGTGCCAGGGGCGGGAGAGCAGGACACAGTCAGCGGAGCTGAGGCAGCTGCAGCGCAGGGGATCGGACCTCGGATCCGGGCAGGAGCGGGGCTGGGGCACCAGCGGGCGCGCAGGGGCGGGGCTCTGGCCGGGAGGGCGCACGGCGCAGCACTCACGTGGCCGCCCCCCGGTGGCCGTCACTGCTCCTGCAGCCGCCACGCAGGTCTCCAGGCTCCAGAGCACAACCCACTCTGAATCCCAGCCTCCCCGCCTGCTGACTACACGGCGTCCGGACCTAACGTGGGGGGAGGACATAGCACCCACCCGCGAAAGGGGCGCCCTCCCGGTGGGTAATTCGAGAAGTCCTTTCCAAAATCACTAGAAATCCATCTCATTAAGTCTCCATGGGCAACTTCGAAGTATTTTTATCTGAAATTGCTTTTTCCCCCCTGATTTCTTTTTATTAAAACGTAGGTAATTATGACAATTGCAACCATTTGCGTGATTATTCGATTAGTATCCCCTGTAGATGTTCCTTACCATTCTAGTAAATTGCCATAGTCTTAACTCTCAGGGCTTGGCAGATAGTAAATGCTTAAGAAACACCTGTGGAATGAACGGATAAATATGGAAAAGTATAAAGAAAAAAGGATATAAAACTGATAACTCCTGTGAACATGTTCATATTATATCCTTCCAGATACTTTTCTAATAAACTTTTAGAAATTTCACAGCTCTTATTTCAGATATAAAAATAAGTGATATTTATTGAGTGATTTATCTCATTTTAGTTTCACACCAACCCTGTGAGGTAGGATGCATTAGCTCTATTTCACAGGTCATAAAACTGAGGCTTATAGAGATAGATTTGCCCAAAAGGTTTCTTTTTTGTTTGTTTGTTTTATTTATTTAAGTAATCTCTAACACCCAACAGGGGGCTCAAACTCACCACCCCAAGATCAAGAGTTGCATACTCCTCTAGCTGAGCCAACCAGGCACCCCTACCCAAGAGATTTCTAAGGTGGCTTCTCTTAGCAAAGGGCAGCTATATTTCAGGAGCTGGAGGGCATGCTCAGTCTTTGTCAGGTGAGGTCCAGCAAACACAGAGACCACAGGTGCAGGCAGACCAGTGACAGACAATGATATCTGGGTATGCTTGTAGGTATATTTTACATTTTTCTAAGAAAGAGTGGATTCCTATCTCTTGCTCCTTTCCATGGGTGGCACTAGCTTGTGAACATATTTCTGTGGTCAAGAGCCACCTGTCATCTGTAATGCTTGCTTTGATACATGAGGGGATGCAATAGGCGCTGATTTTTACAGGACACTCACTTTGTGCAAGGGACTGTGGTAACTGCTTTACAGGATTAGCTCTTTTGATTACTACCCCGAATGCTCTTATTGTCCCCACATCATACACAGAGAGACTGAGACAGGCTAAAGAACTTTCCAAGGTTACACAGTCAATGGCAGACCCAGGATTTGACCCAGGCCTGAGTATATACTGGCCCCTCAAATGTCCTGTCCCTAAGCCTTGATTCTTCAGTTTATGAGGTCCCTGAAAATTCACATTTCCCTGGGAGATCAAAGGCCTTCTGTTTACTAGGTGCTATGGCCTCTGTAGGGAGCAGGTTCAAGTTTATGTGGCTTGAGGAAAGGGGATGGTGTACAGACAGCATCTCATAAGGTAGTGGAGGGAAATGAATAAAATGCAATGGTCTTGAAACCTATCACTGAGTATTGTAGCCTTTGGCCTCTGTGCTACAAGTTTTGGAAAATACATGAGCCAGTAGATATTTTGGTTTGAAGTTTTGGGAAAACTCTGGCTTCTGGCAACACAAAATTGCACCTGAAATTGTGACTGTAGGAAAGCTGGCCAGGAACAGAGTCTGAGCTACTCTGTCCAAATCCAAAGTCAGACCAACGCCCCCCCCTCCCCCCCCCCCCAAAAAAAAAACAAACAGAAAACAAAACAAAACAAAACTGTATTACTTAACTACTTATAGTTCTGAGTGGCCTTGGGCAAGTTTTTTACCTCCTCTGAGCCTCTGTAAGTTTCATCTGCCCAGCACAAGTCCCCCTTCTTTGCAGGAGGATCTTGATTTGCCTTCAGGAAACCAGCCCACCCTATTCCCAGTTTGTGAGACTGGCCCTTCCCACTGACCTGGAGGTAAGCTGGACACATGACAAGACCTGGCCAATCAGCACATTCCATCCCTTTAGCCACACTGATTGGTTCTGGGATGAGCATGTGACCCAAGCCAAGCCAATGAAATACTTACCTGCATCTTTTCTAGCAAGCATAAAAATGAGAATCTCTCTTTCCAGAGAGTTGCTAAGCTGATAAGATTTAAGCCTCGGGTTTCTGGACATTCGTTCTCATGGCAAATATTTATTAAGCTCCTATTGTGTGCTAAGTATTGTGCTAGGAGTTGGGGGAAAGGCCTGCCTTCAGAGAGTTAATGGGGTAAGAGATGGGAGAACAGAAATTTTTCATGTAGTCATTAATCCTAGTCCATACCATTATCAACTGCCAGGTGTGCCAGGAGTGAGATGTATAAGCAACAATGAGAGATTATAAGGAAACCTGCTCAAAAAAGCTTCTTTGAAGAAATGACGTTTGAGCGTGGCTCCGAAGGAAAAGTAGGCATCACTTCCAGTAGCTTTAGGAAGACAGGTGCCCTCCTCAGCAAGGAGATTTGGATCAGAACCATTCTTGGTTTTTGCCTGGTCTTTGATCACCTCCTATAACCATGACACAAAGTTGTTCAGACTTTACTGAAAAGTTTGAGGTAACAAGAATTACATATAGGAGGGAAAACATTAAACCACACTAGCAATCCAAGAGGAAAATATGCCCTTCCCAGGGTGCCCTTCGTTGGCACACTCCAGTTCCAAGCCTTGCTCCCCTGTCCTAAAGCCTGTCCCTCCTTCTGTCACATGGACAATCATCTCTTCTTCAAGCTCTGAGGGACAAAATCCCCGCCTCTATTAGAAAAATCCCTCTTCTCACCAACAGGGAGTTGGGTTTCCCCCGCTTTCCCACCAGAGTAGCCCAGAATAAAGGACTCAATAACCCACAAGATGCAAAAAAATATCATCAAGAAAGTAAAAAGATACACTTGGAACTAATATAATACTGTGTGATTGTGAGTCAAGTATACTTAAAAAAAAAAAAAAAGACAGTGAAAAGACATTTTAGAGAGTGGGAGAAAATACTGACAAGTCCTGACAATACTGACAAATCCAAGGGATTTGTAGCTAGAATATATAGAGAGCTCTTACCACTCAATCATAAAAAGATAACCCATTTTAAGAATAGGCAAAAGACTTTGTTTATTTTGAGAGAGAGTAAGACAGTGTGAGTGGGGGAGGGGGAGAGAGAGAGACAGGAGAAAGAGAGAATTCCAAGCAGGCTCTGCACTGCCAGCAGGGCTTGAACCCACGAAGCCATGAGATCATGACCTGAGCCGAAACCAAGAGTCAGACACTTAACTGACTGCGTCACCCAGATGCAAAAATGGGCAAAAGATTTAAACAGACAGTTCTCCAAAAGAGAAGTATCACTGACCCATAAGCACACGGAAAGATAGCCAACATCAGGGGCACCTAGCCGGCTCAGTTAGTGGAATATGTGACTCTTGATCTGGGGTTGTGAGTTTGAGCCCCACCTTCGGTGTAGAAATTACTTAAAAATAAAATATTTTAGGGGCACCTGGGTGGTTCAGTCGGTTAAGCGTCCGACTTCGGCTCAGGTCATGATCTCATGGTTCGTGGGTTCGAGCCCCACGTCGGGCTCTGTGCTGACAGCCAGCTCGTAGCCTGGAGCTTGTTTCAGATTCTGTGTCTCCCTCTCTCTCTGACCCTCCCCTGTTCCCGCTGTTTCTCTCTCTCTCTCTCTCTCAGAAATAAATAAAACATTTAAAAATTTTTTTAAAAAAGTAAAATATTTTTAAAAATACTTAACATCATTAGCCATTAGAAGAATGCAAATCAAAACCACATCTACTAGGATGGCTATAATAACAAAGTCAGATAACAAGTGTTGGCAAGGATGTGGAGAAATCAGAATCCTCAAACCCAGGTAGCTGCAGGGATAGAAAATGGAAAACATTCTCTTCAAAAAATTAAACATTGGGTTATCATACAACCCAGCAATTCCATTCCCAAGAGAAATAAAAACATATGCCTACACAAAAACTCATACAGGAATGTTCAGAGCAGTATTAGTCATAAGAGCCAAAAGGTAAAAACCCATCCATCCATCAGCTGAGGAACAGGTAACTAAAATGTGGTCTATCCATACAATGGAATGTTATTTGGCAAAAAAAAATATGAAGCACCGATACATGCTACAACATGGATGAACCTTAAAAATATTGTGCTAAGGGGTGCCTAGCTGGCTCACTTGGTGGAGCACATGACCCTTCTTAGGATTCTGGGTTAGAGCCCGACATCAGGTGTAGAGATTACTTAAAAATAAAATCTTTAAGAAAAAAAACATTATGCTAAGTGAAAGGAACTAGTCACAAAAGGCAACTTATTATATAAATTCATTGATATAAAATGTCCAGATTGGGGAAATTCATAGCGACACAGGTGGATTAGTGGTTGCCTGGGGCTGGGAAGGGAGTTTGCGGAGAATGCGGAGAAAGGTGAGGGGTTTCTTTTTTGGGGCAATGAAGATATTCTAAAATTAATCATGGTGATGGTTGCAGACTTTGAATATAAAAAACAAAAACAAAACCTGAATTATATACTTTAAATGGGTATAGAGGCATCCGGGTGGCTCACTGGGTTGAGCATCTGACTCCTGATTTCAGCTCAGGTCATGATCCCAGGGTCGTGGAATCAAGCCTCGCATTGGGCTCTGCACTGAGCATGGAGCCTGCTTAAGATTCTCTCTCTCTCTCTCTCTCTCTCTCTCTCTCTCTCTCTCTCTCTCTCTCCCCGTCCCTGTTCCTCCCTCCCTCCCTCGACTCAGCTGTTTTCTCTCTCTCTTTAAAAAAAATAAAAATAAAAAATAAATGGGTATAAGGGCACCTGGGTGGCTCAGTCGGTTGAGCGTCTGATTTTGGCTCAGGTCATGATCTCACAGTTCAC